CCCTTGGAGCTGCGGGGCAGGATGGTGATGAAGAGGGTCCTGGGCTGGCTCTGCCGGTCCATCTCCGAGGCGTTGGCCAGGACGGTGAAGCTGTCGCCTTGCGCCTGGGGACCGTCCTGCCTGTACTGGATCTGCTGCTTCTCCACCTGCGGGGCAGGGGCTGGGTGACCTTCCCAGGAGGACATGGGCCTCCAGCCCTGCTGGGGAGGGGACCTGGGCACCCACCACCGGTGGCATCCCTGTGGGATGGATCCGGCACACATATAGGGAGCAGGACCCCCGTGGAGCCCAGCGTGGGTGCTTTGCTGCATCCCCAGGGACAGCTGAACACTCCGTGAGGGTTGGTGCAAGCCCTGTCTGCAGGGCAAATCCACCACCCTGGGCCCCTCCATCCGAAGGGCAGCACTCTCCCATGGGGAGAGGGGCCCTGCAGCCCATCCCAGCCTCCTGCTGGGGGCTGGAGTCCAGTCCCAGGCTCTTCCCTAACCTCCTGGGAAATCAGCGTGATGGCAAGTGGGCACCTTTGGCTACCCTACCTCACTCCAGGTGAAGCTGTGCAGCTCGCCATCCTCTGGCCTCTTGCTGCTCAGGAGGCTGCCGAACTGGGGGGGCTCGAGCACCCTGAACTCCATCCCGAGAGCTGTGTAGTAGGCATTGGGGATGTTGAGGATGCCTGTGGAGAGGGTAGTGGAGCCACCTCCTAGCACTGTGATGTTGTGGACCTCCAGAGGCACAGTGATGGGGAGCATGACCAGGCTCACCACCACCCCTTCCAGTGGGTCTGCACCATGGGCCGTGATGTCCACGACGAACCGGTCATGTTTCTCATCCGGCTTGGAGTGGAGGTAGAGGACTCTGCCGTTGTTGATGTCCTCCTGGGTGAAGGACTGGATGGGGTCCAGGCTGGGCTGCTCGTTTGCATCTGGGCTGTGCTGAAGCATTGCCAGGAAGCCAGAGACTGGGAGGCTGCTTACCAGGTAGACTATGTCCTGGGGAGGGATCTCTTCATGGGCCACCTGGGAGTGTGGGGGAGACAAAACATGGGTGACCCACAGCCCACTGTTGTGCAGTCCCCCAAGGCTTTGAGTTGGGATGAGCTGCAAGAGTTGCCTTCTTGCTGAGGCTATGCTGGAACCCCGACTTTTCCCACAGCCAAAGCCTGACATGGGTATGAGTCCTTCACTTGGGGCAGATGGGTGTAAAATGGAGTTCCACAGCTGGCTCTCCTGGTTTGGTGGCCAAGGAAGTGATGGCGGCTTAGGGAATGACTAAAGAGGTGGATACTCACCAATAAGTATTCCTCCTTGATCCCGGCTGCTTCCCCCTGGAAGACGTAGATCTCCCTGTGGTTGATTATGTGCAGAGGGCTGGGGTGGGTATCCAAGAACACGCTGATGGCCAGTGTGTCCTCCACCACCACCTCATTCGCTTCTACAGTGAACTGGAGCTCGTCACGGGTGTTCCTGCTCCCATTGTGTCGGTAGGAGATCTCTCCTGCTAGGAGGTCCCTCTGGGAAAAGGCCACGACTGGCTGCTCCCCTTTGAGCACAGTACCCCACCTCGGGGGGGTTGTTATCAGAAACCGTATCTCTTCATCTGACCTGATGTCCATGTTGGTCTCCAGGCTGAGGACGGAGGAGTCAATGCTCCCTCGGCTGCCTTGGTGGATGACTAGGCCGGTGTTGTTGACTATTTTGATGTAGGGGTCTGATGCCTGTACTTCCAGGAGGGCTGTGGTTTGGTGGAGGCCATCCGAGACCTGTAGCTGGATCCAGCCCCGGTCAGCCCCTGAATGGACAAAGAGGATCTTCTTCTTCCTCAAGTCCTCCTGTGTGAACCGATAGACCTGGCGGCTTCTGTCATCAATGGACACTATGCTGCCAAACAAAATGTCCTTCCTCGCCAGCACCAGCTGTGAGTCGGAGAAGCCAGAGTCCTTGTCGGTGAAGGCAATATCATCCGTCGTCAGCAGGTGCTGCCCATTGCGCACCACATTGAAGACCTTGTTCACCACCTGGACTGGGGTGTGGTCGTTGACAGGTAGGATGGAGACCCTGAAAACCCCTCTCACTTCCTCTGCCTCGGGCTCGGTGCTGCCCTCGCCCTGCCTGGTTGCTACGAAGGGGATGTCATCCTCCAGTGTCTCGGAGTCATCGTGCAGGTACAGCAGCCGGCGGTGAAGGATGTCGTCGTTGGTGAACTCCGTGATCTCTTCTCTGGAAGCCCAGCCGTGGGATGCAGCCCAGGCCAGCCTCCCATGTGCTGGTCCCTCGATCACTTCGTAGAGGTAGTCCATGCTGTTCATACTCTGTACAAACAAATGGTCCTTGGAGATGACAGCTTGCCCCCCTTCTGGCACTGTCAGGAGAATGTTGGTCAGGGCTGGTGCATCGGGGTCCCCACCAATGCTGATTGTGTAGGTATAGACAGGAGAGTGCTGCTCACCGGCGCGGATGCGGAATTGGAAGGTGTCCTCAGCTTGCTGAGAGTTCCTGATGGTTGCACTGTAGCTCAGGTGGTTTCTTTGCAGGTCATCTTGGGTAAATCCAAAGCCTTCAGTCAATCTGTTGCCGAGCAGCTCCAGGTTTCCCTTTTTGGGAGCCTGGATTATCATGTAGTGGAAGGGGACTGGGGTGGAGTTTGGATCTTCCAACATTGCCTCCAGCTCCTTACTGGTGATATTTCTGTGCCGCTTGTTCTTCATCTGGAGGGGGACCATGGTCCTCATCTTAATGGTGGCTCTTTTAATCCTTATGAGAAAGGTGTTGTTTTGCAAGACCTTCTGCCCTACCTGGACTTTGAATCTCAACTTCTCCACAACATCTTCCAGCCGGTGCTCTGAGTCTGTGCTAAAATACTGGATGCGCCCTTGCTCCAGGTCTTGCTGATGGAAGGACTCGACTTTTTTCCATTCCCCTCCCACGCTCCCTTGCTTCTGGAGCTCCCCATACCTTAGGGGCTCTGTGAGGACGTACAGGATGGCAACCCGTTGTTTCACAGCGTTTGTCTCCACTGACAGGTTGGCTGTGGTAATGCGTGCTGCCCCTCCTTGGGAGATGGAGAGGCCGGTGTTATTGTGCAGGCGGATGTCGGGGTCGATGGCGAGGATCCTAAGGGTGGCAATGGGGCTTGGGACTGTTCCATCACTGACCTGCAAGGTGAGCTGTAAGTTGGTCCCGCTCTGGTGCACGTAGGCTACGTTGCCTGCTTCCAGGTCCCTGCAGGAGAACTCTTCAATGGGCACTCCAGGGTGAAAGTCATACTCCACGTAACCCTCCTCCATCTGCTGGCCACCATGCAGCTGGAATTCGAGGTCGTCGCAGGATGTGTCATCATCTAGGACCTGCAAGATGTCTGTAGTCAGGTGTTTCCGTGTGTGCTTCAGGATTGTCATGTCGTTCCCGTGGGGGAAGATCACTTGTGGGGCGTCGTTGATGGGGTTGATCATGATGGGCAGCAGGTACATCTGCTCCTGCCGCAAGCACTCGGGGACCCCTTGCTGGGCAGTCACTGACACCTCCAGCATCAGCTGGTCCATGGGCCCCTCAGAGCCGTCGTGAACATATCTGACTTTTCGATTCACAATGTCCAACAAGGTGAACTTCCTTCTGCTCCTGGACCCAGGAATGTCCAGCTCCAGCTGGCCATGTCTAGGGTCCTTGGTGATGCTAAAGAGGATTTGGGACTGTCGGATATTTGCAAGACTCAAGTCTACTGTTGGCTGGGTGTGTTTCCACTCCAGATAGGCCATGCCCCCTTCAGAGACGATGAGGGGGCTGACGTGCAGCAGCCTGCTGATGTTGGCAAAGGCAGATGGGAAGCTGTTGTCTGGCTGGCACGGTTCCACCACCAGGCCTGGTGCTCCTGACCAGCCATCTGGAGGTGGGGAAGTGGGTGTCTCATCCTGCTCGTACATCTCGTCGTAGTCCCAGTAGTGCTCCTGCTTTCCACAGCCTGATGTGATGTCCCTGGTGATCACGGCATCTTGCAGACTCCTCCTCTGCAGGTTTATCCGCAGGTCCTCCAAGCAGCCAACAAATGAATTGTTTGTCATGGTCCACGCTGAGATGAAAGCAAGATGATGGTCTCTCAGCCTCTGCGAAGCTTTTTCATTCATACCTCCGATGAAGAGGTTTCCCTGAAGGTCCAGGTGGTTGTTGATGCCCCGGTTGGACGTGGATGAGGCGTAGTAGTCGATCAGTATCTCAAACTTGTGGATGTCTGTGTAGACTTTGACATAGTGCTGCTGCTCGTCGCTGATGAAGACGTTGTTGTGCAGGACGATGATGCCATTTCCCTTCTCAACAAACCCTCTTAGGCGCCCGTTGGAGATCTCCAGGTAGAAGAAGTCATTCTCCAGCCCCCCGTGGTAGATGAGGGGTGCCTGGGTGATGCTCGTCGTTATCACAAACTCAATGGTCGCTTCCTCCCTTGCATCCCACGTGGGAAACGCGATGTAGGAGTGTGGCCCCAGGAACCCAAAGGGGTCTTCAGGATCCGCAGAGAACTGTGTGTTGCATCCTTCCTGGACCTGGTGGAAGGTCTTGGAGCTGCCATCAGAGGCCATCGGGGAGAGGACATCCAGGCCGTTGAATGTCACTAAGTGGAGGCAACCTCTGAAGGGTGAGCTGACCTCAGCGAGGTATGGCAGGTCAAGGCTGCCTGTCCCACCAGCGTAGAGGCCGTACTGGATGTCCAGCTCCCGTGCAGGTCCTGCAATGTCCACAGAGCTGTTGAAGAGGCCATCAACAGTCAGTGTCATCCTCCCATCTTCCACCAGTAGTTCCACGTTGTGCACCTCCAGGTTACTGAGCTGCAGCTCGGCTGGGGACTGCAGCATCACCTCCTCTGAGCCCAGCTGCAGCCTGGCCTGCAGGGAAGGACACAAAATCCTCAGCTCAAATTATCTGCAGCTCAGAAAACACCTCTTCATCTACCAGAAGTACCTGCTGAAGTGTGGACTGTTCCTGGGGGCTAACAAGTGTTTAAGTCCCTCTGTTCACCACTGCTCATCCCACCCTCTTCCTCTTCTGGACATGTTCCTTTCTCCCCAGCTAGACCCCTTTGTGGACCTGCCTTCTTTGTCCTGCTCTCTGAATTTCTCTCCTTTTTCACTGTCTCTTAGCAAGCCCCAGTCTCGGGGCTATTTCCCTGGAGCCCTCCATCTCCCAGTCCCACTGCTGTGCTTTCCCTCTTGCCCCATGAGAAGCCCTGTCAGATGCTGTCTCCTCTTGCCCTGCTCCATCCATCCCTGCAGCCTGGGTTGTTCCAGCCCTCGCCTTGGGAACAGGCAGGGAAAACAGCAGGTTTTGCTCTCTGCAGACAGCAGCCTGGAGCCTGTGTAAGTAGAGGGTTAGCTGATAGACCCCGAGACACGTGGTCTGCATTAGGGTAAGGACATCTCCAGACAGCTGCTCGCTTGCTCTCCTGTCTTGATTTAGATGTGGTTGGTGGCCCAGCCCAGGCTGCAGGAAAGACAGGATGTGTTCTGGATGCTCCCTGCTCTGTTCTCTCATGGCAGATGCCAACATCATAACCACAAGAGGGGAATTTTCTTCTTCTGTCCTGATCTGTTCCCATGCCCTAGCTGGGCTTGGCCTGTGGAGAGATGGGGGAGACCTCTTTGTTCTCTGGACCCTCTAGTCTCATCCCTTCTCTTTGCCAGCCCTTTGCACCCTGCTGGTGCTGTGCACCATGTCTGTGCACGTGGTGCTGGTATCTGGATGTCTCCGTCATGCTCCCCAGCACCACCCCAGGGAGTGGGTGAGCAGCTTCCCCAGCTGCAGCCTCCTCCTCTAGGTTTAGATTATTCTCGCAGACCGTGTCCACACTCCTATTGACCTCTTAACATCCCCTGGCAGGGGGCTTAGCTCTCCATGTTGGTATCTGACCCCAGAAGCTGCTGCTTTCAGGTGCTGTCCCTCCGCACTGGATGAAGCCCCAACCTGTGCCGGGGTGCTGACCTGCAGGCTGCCGGCTCGCAGCTGAAGCAGGAGGTGGTCGGGCTGGCCGGCGGCCAGGAAGAGCAGCCCAGTCCCCTGGCTGGTGTACAGCTGCAGGTGGAGCCGCACCGTGCGCGAGGCGTCCGCCAGCGGCATCTCCACGTAGCTGTCCCCGAAGAAGGAGGCTGGGGAGAAAGGGAAGAGGGTCAGGCGGGGAAGGATGCCTCCCTGAAGCTCTCTGGGGGTGGGTGCTGTGAATCTGGAGCCTCCCAAGTCCATCCCCATTTGCCCTGCGAGAGGGTATTTTGATTTTTCTAGGGACCCCCTGGTGAGGGGGAGGTTGTTTCTCCTTGTTCATGTAGCATTTAGAGGAGCCTTTTCCCTTGCTTTTTGGCCAGGGCAGATGCCACAGTGCCTGTCATCGGGATGAGTTCCCAAGTGTTAGGATGCAAACTGTTAACCCTAATGAGTCTTTCCTGCTTCTGCCACAGCTGCTTCCCTCTGGAGGCAGCTGTGGCAGAAGTGGTCATGTGGTTCCCCAGCCAGTGCCAACTGCTGCTGAACACAGAGCTGCTGCATGGGAGCCCCGGGGATGTTGCTGGATCAGCCAACACCACACTCTGCTCCTCTCCCTGTTTTACACCACTTCCTAACACCTCTCTGTACCATCCAAACATTGCTGGCGTTCAGCCTGGAGGTGCCGGGGCTGGAGGAATGACCATGTGCTCCTGAGATCCATATGTGGATGTGGGATGTACAGAAACCTTGGCGCAAACGGGGTGCCCCAGGCTGGAAGATGTCCAATGCCCAGAATGCACCAGCCCTGGAGGGACTCGGCTCAAGGGCAGACAGTCCTGAAATGAAAGGCTGTGGCACAGGGTAGGATCCAAAGCACAGGGAGTGGCAGGGCTTAATTTTAGAGTGCTTAATCTTTTTGCTGGCTCTGTGTTGCACACACATTAAACGCATGTGTCTCCAGAGAAAGCCACGGCCAAGTTAACTCTGTGTTTGCAGGACAAAACACAAACACTCAGGACACCCTTAAGTTGTAAATGTTTGGTGAGGATGTGTCAGAGGCGTAGATGTGGATGTTTTCAGTCTGTATGTAGGCACAGGCTGTAAGCCTGCTGTGCCCAACTTTATACGTGTGGAACTTTCCTGCTGTACTTCACTATTGCAGTTGTCATCAAAGCCACCCAGCTGGGCTCTGGACCCCACACTTGGCTTTGGGGTCCCCTGTGCAGTTTGCTGAGATGCTGTGGGGCAATGAGGATGAGGCTTTGGCTTCTCTGAGGTGCCCACCCCAGCCTCCTGTTCTGGAGGAGGGAGGGAGGGAGGGAGGTTGGCTGCTGGGGTGAAAGCAGCTTCCTACATGGTGAGGTCTGGGTGTAAACACCTATGTGTGCTCTCACAGCTTTTTCTCTGGTTGCCTTTGCCTGTTGCCCAGATTTCTGTGGGGTTGACTGGGGTCTGAGGTGATGGTTTATATGGCAGGCATAAAGTTGGAGCACTCTGCTTTGGCTTTTGGTGTTTTCTTCTGAGCTCTGTGGTGCTCTGCATAGGGTGATGTTCTTCTGAGCCCCTCAGGGATGGAGGGACCTCCTTGCCCAGACCCCACTTTTCCTACTGCTAGCTGCAGAGGAAGTGCCTCAGCTTTCTCCTGGGGTCTTGGAGAATACCGTGGGTGTGGCAAGGATGTGCTGTGGGCAGGAAAGAAGTGACAGCATGGAAATATGTAGTCCTTGTGCTAACAGGGAGCCCTTTGCCTAGCCCAGGGCAAGGCTGCCAGCGTGCCTTACCCAAGCCTGCTCATTTCCTGGCCTTTGGCATGGGGCACTTTGGCTTCCTTGTCCTCTTTGGCCCAGCTGGTGACTCAGAGGAGCTTTGCTATTCTTTGCAAGGCTGTGAAGGCTTCTGTCCTCTCCTGACCTGCTCCCTCCTTCCAGTAGGCCTTGGAAAACCTCCTGGTGTGCCTTGTTTGATGGCCAAGGGTGGTGGGTGCTGCCTGGGGCTCTCAGCACCACCTTGTCCTGGTGTTTGGCGAGCAGCAGTGACGCGGCACCTTGCAAAAGGGACTTTTCCTCTCCCTCCTTGCACAGGCTGTTGCTCGGACCCCAGCCAGGCGTGGACATATGTGTGCAATGTAGTGTGGTCCCCAGAGACATTGCATGTACGTTATGTGCTGGCTCCCACTGAGGTTCCCTCATGTGTGCATGCTCCGTGCTCCAGCTCCTGCTGGGATTTTGCTATATTTTGGTTTTGTGGCTTCCCCTAATCCAAAAAACATGGTCTTCAGATGGGCACTGAGTGACTGCTCTCACGGGGTGGGAGAAGATTTGCTGGGACTGGACACACCAGCAGCTTTAATTCTCCCAAAGCTGCCAGAGATGCTTTTCTTCTTTCTCTCATAAAATGCTACCATGGAAAACTTACTCAAAGTGCAGATACCCAACAGAGTGGGGCTGTTTGTGGGGGGAGGGAGCACTGACCCTTGCCCAGTTCCAGGAAGCACTGGGATTTTTCTCTGGCTGCTGAGCAGTGTTGAGTTACTGCTGTTTGTCTTCTCAGATTCCTGCTTTATTTCAGGGCCGCTCTACTCGGCAGCCCCTCCAGGATGCAAACGTTGCTTGGCTTGTGGCATTTCTCTTTCATAAGGGACTTGCAACTTTTCACCTCCTTCTGGCCTCTTCTTTGCCCTCCGCATTGCAAAAGATGCAGAAAATATGCCTTGTTGGATTTTGGGGTGATTTTTAAAATGCGTTTTGCACTGGGGGAGCCTCCATGGCAGAAGGTGCCTTACCCTGATCAATCACTTGGATGTCAGCTCAGATTTGGGCATGCACTAAGAGAGCTGGGACCCCCTTGGGCACCCAGCCACATCTGCAGGCTGCCTACATCCTGGGATCATCCCTTGTGGATGCACTCCAGTGACCCAAACCCACCTTTCACAAGGTGATCTGAGGGAGCAACAATCACACCATGGGCTGAGATTCACTGCTGGGTGGAGATGCCCAAGCTGGCCCTTCCTCCCCTGTCACAGGGAGCAGCAGGTCTCTGTGTCCTGGCTGTGGGCTGGGGTGGGTGCCCTGGCTGAAAATAATCGTTCCCAGCTTGTCATGTCCAGCAGGAAATTGCTGCCCCTGCCTTGCCAGACCGATGGAAAGGCGTTGACAAAGTGAGGAGCCTCTGTCACAGTTTCCGAGCAGCCGGCCAGCAGATTATAGACTGCAGTGTCATTTCGGTTTGGGGAACTTTTTTTTTTTTTTTTCATTGGAAAAAAAATAAGAGTCAAAAGCTCTGAGCAAGGGGCTGGGAGCAAGGTCCCGGGTGTGCTTGGCTCCTCCCAGGGCCGGCAAACAAGCAAGGGCTCTGTGTGAACCAGCAATGCCCCGGCACCCGCCGGCCACGTGCCGGGTCTGGGAAGCCTTGGCCCTCTCCTGCTGTTCCTCCAGCTGAAAACAAGATGGGTTTGGCCTCTCCAGTTGCTGGGTTTTGATGTTCAGGGAGTTTTTTTGCCCTGAGTGAGCTGGCTTCGGCAGCCTGGGGAGCAGAGCCTGGTGCTTGGCAGCGCCATGGAGGAGAAGGGATCCCTGTCCGCTCTGGGTGCTCTGTGCTGGAGGGCTCCCGAGGCTGCTCTGGGGCTACTTTGGCCTCTCCTCCATGTTTTAATGTCTCAGCACGCAGACTTCTTCCACCTTCTCCCAGCCCGGATGAGGGAAAGGGGCGCAAAGCTCAGCGTGGGGGTTTGCAGGGCGAACTAGCGCTGAACACGGGGAGATTTTCAAAGTAGGGAGGTGTCTCCGGCGTGTGCAGAGGGAAATGTGAGCTGGTGGGTGGATGTATTCCCCACCCGCAGGCTCCTACCCTGGCTCCAGGCACCACCAGCCCTGACTGTGGGAGAGCTGGATGCGTTTTGGGGGGTACAAACGAGTCCCTGGGGGGCTGCAGTGCCCCCCACTGCTCTGTCCATCCAGAGAAGCATGCTGAGGAGAAAGAAGCAGAGCAAACTCTGCTCGAGGAGAGCGGGAAAGGTGCTTGAGTGGGGCTGGCTTCTCAACAAGGCTTCATTCAGGCTGCGGTGGGGGGCAGGTGGGGGCCAGGGCTGATGGCCCATGTGTGTTTTGCAGGGAGGGGACTGGAACTCGTTAAAGCAGCTCTGTAATTACCAGCACCAGTGCCAGGAGAGCCCCGTGTAGACACAGGCGCCCCACTGAAAGGCTCTCTGTGTTTGCAGCCGCTTCCCGCCCCAGCCACGCCGCTTTTCTAGCGGTGGAAAAACAGCCGGGGAGCGAAGGCTCCTTGTTGCCCGAACAGCCCGGGGCTTGTGCTGCCAACGGTGCAGCCCAGCCCTTGGGCTGCCCTCCTTCCTGCCCGCCGGCCCCGGCCAACAAGTGGCTCCTGTGTCAGCGGGGTGCCCAGTGCTGCGGAGCCCCCCTCGTGTGGGGTGCTGCCGGGGCACTCCACGGCTAGCCTGGTGCATTCCTCCAGCACAGCGTCAGGAGCTTGTTTTGAGGCCCTCTAACTTGTTTGGGGTAGTTTTATTTTTTGTTTTAATGACTTATAAGGTAGCAAGCTCGCCCAGTGCCAGCTGTGCTGCACCCACCGTCTGTGCAAACACCCAAGGGGATGGGGGATGCAAACACTGGAGGGGCTCGGCTACAACCACCCGTCCCCTCGCAGTGTCTGTATGAGCTTCCCATCCCCACTCCCAAAGCAGGCAGGGTGGCCAGGACCAGCCCTCCTGCCACCGCCGTGGGTGGCCCTGGGTCTCAGCCTCCCTAATCCCCAGCCGGGCTCTGTGGTGCCCGAGGGGACCCACAGCCCCCCTCGCCCCGGCTGCATCCTGGGCTGGGCTATGCCTCTGTCCCCGTGTGGGGCGGAGAGGCTGGGGGAGGGAGGGATCTGATGGGCTCTCTGAGAAAGGCTTCATTATGTTACACATTCCCTTCGTTTTTACGGCGTGGTTTTATTTATGGCTGGGGAAGGAAATGAGCAGCCTGCGAGGCAGGCTA